TTGAAGCGAGATAAAATGTGGACCATTTTACTCCAAAATCGAATCAACAGTCAACTGAATGAACAGCAGCGGACAAATCTCGCCCTTAGTGGCCAAAAACGCAACAGGCACCTAGCAAGGTAATGGTTTTTTGAGATGCGCGTGAAATTTTGTTCATTGACTACAAAAATTCCAGACCCTCTAAAGCTATCGCTAAGAAATCGTGAAACAACGTCCCAATAATAAAATTTCTCTCTCATCAGACAACGCGCCACAAGTCGTTGGGTACTTTTGCACGAACTATAGTTTCAATTCTTCACCAAAGGTTCTACGTGGTATTAAACTCACAGTTTTCCTCTATATACGATAGCACATTGGACCAATAGACCTAAGTAGATCCCCTAGGAATCGCCGGTATAACCTAACGTAACTTAAAGTTTGAATTGCTTTCATGCTCATCATATTAGCCTGATTTGACCGTCTGCGATTACTATCATCTTGCAGACCTCAAAAAAAGATACAGGTAAAGATATTTGTGGCTCTAATGAAAAAGTTATCGTCGAAACTAAAGCATATTTTAAGGGCAAAGATGAATCATACTACCAAAGAAGTAAAAAAATGTTAGAGAAGCGTTGGATTGTGTTAATATCGAAGAAGACTGCGTTGATGAATAAGACAAATTTTATCAAAAAGTTGTTTTTTTGGTTATTCTATCGATTTATCAGCCGATGTGTTAAAACTACTGTAGAATTATTTTGTTACATATTCCAGTTGGTCTCATTGGAGACTTATTGGTTCTTATTGTAACTACTAAGTACAATAATATAATTTGATTATTACTAATAATTTAGTTTCCAAATAAAATTTATTATAAAAAAAAAATAACTTTTTATATAAACACTTAAACAATATAATATATAAACACTCAAGTACAATGCAAAACAATTTCGCATTTTTGGCAAGATGCCCACATGCAAAATGTCTATTTAGAATAGAAACTGGTGACGATGCGGCAACAGCCAACAATTTTGTTTTTGCTATTTTAACATTTTTTATTTTATTTTGAATTGTAAATTTTATGCACTTATAAAAAAAAATACACGGAAGTAGAGAAATTATTATGGGAAACTTACCGTGCTCGTAGGGTGAAAACGTTCCAGCGTCTATATTAATGTATGGATCAATTTTAATTGAAGTAACATCCAAACCACACGATTTGAGTAGCGTTCCGAAGGAGGAAGCAATAACACCCTTGCCCACTCCACTAATGACGCCACCTGTTACCAAGATGTACTTCATGCTGCAGAAGATAAATACTATGTTTATTTAACATTTCGCGCCTTTTTCATGCAACATATCTTGTTCTCTTTATGTTCTTTTAACAATAAACACAAACTCACCTGCAAAATTTTACTTAAAACTCTAAAAAAAAAAGAAATTTTATGTAAGTTAATTTGCGCGCCCACGCTTAGCGTTCTAGATTATGGATTGAAGCGTTGATATGGGTTAGTTTTTGCACACACAGCACGCGTCACGACCAATTTCAAATGTTTGTAACTAAAAACGGCACAAGTCACTAAACTAAATCACTGCTCTAAGCTAATGATTTTTCAACGGATATAATATATGTTTTGCACTTTCAATTTGTAGTCACACGATCCTAACGAGTGATGTATATACAAACTGCGTCGCAATATGCAAGGTTTCACAACTGCTATATTCGCGAGCACGTGCTTGGAGACAACTTAGTTTCCTGATATAAACTCAACGAGACAAAGTATGATTCTAAGCAGCAGCAAGTCTCAATGTTTTGATATTGCCAACGAAGTGGCACGATTGTTCGACACATGTTCATTTTCCGCAAATACACGGTTGCATTTGGTGGTAACAACAAAAGTACCAACAACGTCTATACAATGAGCAAATAAAACATATAGTGCGGCAGCAAGTTATTGCCGTGTGCGAGTTCAAGTAAATTGGTGGTAAAATTGAGGGAAATAGTAAATTATGTCGGTATGACAGCGAATGTTGGTATTTACCAAAATTTCGAGTAGGGTAAATAAGATAATAATTAAGTAAATTACGTGTTACACAATTGTGAAAATTTTATAAGATGTTTAGGTCGTGTGCGAGTTAGGCTAAGTTGATGCTAACACGTATCGACACATTAATACATTATCGACACAACTTAGAATTTCCCACATTTAGAACGCAACTTAGCCTAACTCGCACACGACTTTAATAATATAAATAAATTGGAAAACTTTTAACCCAAAATAAAAAATAAGTGCAATAAATAATTAAGGACGTGTGCGAGTTAGGCTAAGTTGATGCTAAACCAAATGTGAGATTTTTTGAGATTTTTTGCACTGCTCACATTTAGTCATTTATCAACACGTATCGACACATTACTACATTATCGGCACAACTTAGAACTACCCTCATTAAGAACGCAATTTAGCCTAACTCGCACACGTCCTAAATATATATTTACATAAGTGCAATGCAAAAAATCCCTAGGAAATTTAATTTATCTTCACCTCAATTTATTAGAACTCGCACCTGGCTTAAATCAAAGCGTGTGGAACAGAAAAATGTATCAGAAAAATTTCAATAACCTTATATAAATAACATTTATTCATTAATTTTGATTCTGTAATGGTTTTAGATAATTTTTTTTCAATATATGTTTTGAAAATGTAATTTATTATGGATTAAATTTTATATTTGCTATATAGTTGCTGCTATATTTTATTAATTTAGGTCGTGTGCGAGTTAGGCTAAGTTGCGTTCTAAATGAGGGAAATTCTAAGTTGTGTCGATAATGTGTTGATGTGTCGATACGTGTTGATAAATGGCAAAATGTGTGCAGTGCAAAAAATCCCAAAAAATCTCTCATTTGGTTTAGCATCAACTTAGCCTAACTCGCACACGTCCTTAGTATTTATGTATCCTATCATATTTATTGTATATTATTATATATCATGTAATTAGTCTATGACACGATTATACCATGTTTTCCCTAATATATGTAGTTTTGCTAATAATAAGTTAATAACGATAATATACCATACAAGGAGTTTTTATATAAATGACCACATTATGAATAAATCAACTCATACCTATATCCTTAATTACATAAAATGAAATTAAATTAATTTGGAACGTGTTCATACTGTTTCAAATTAAGAAAATCATGATTTTTTTGTTCACAAATCGATTGCTTAAAATTACATGCTCAATATGTTACACTGTTTGTATCTGCGAAATCTTAAAAGTTGATTAGTTTCGTTGAAACGAAGACGATATTAATATTTTTGCGAAATAAAAGTGTGTCTGAACATAATATACTTAATATATAATGTAGCGGATCTAGACAGAGAAACTTAATAATTCCCGAAATCTTGGGTGTTGCACGATTGTGCGCAAGACCGAATGGCAATGCGTGAGTGTGTTTTAGAACGGTGTACACTGGATAACTGGTGACTTCTGGTTAAAATGAGCATTTCCGAGGTCCAATACTCGTTAGGTAGAGCTTAGTACCAGTTGCGTGCGAATCTCTCCATTAAATTCGTTGTTGATGTGTAAATATGAGTTATAATAATGAGAGACTAAACAAGTGGCGGTAGGTTCGTAGCAAAAAAAGTTTTTAAGAACCTTTAGTTATGTTAAAAATCATTCAATTAAACGGAAGGAAAAATTAGAAAACCATATATGCATACATATAAAAAATCCCTATCTATATTTTATTATCCAAGAAGTATTTAAATTTTGCTTATACACTATTTAAGTCTTAAATGAATACTAGATATATTTAAGACTTTTTTTCATACATTAATGATTTCTTTTACATGTACGAGTAAAAAAATTAATACACCCACCTGTTTTTTAACTAGCATATTTTCTTAGAAAGTAATATTATTCATACAATTATTTATTTATACAAATAAATAATAATTATAGGAGCCGTTATTATGTATTCTCTTTCAGTTTTATTACTTCTTTAACGCAAGTTTTTTTGATATTATAATTTTTTAGCTTTTTCAAGAACATAACTAAATTGATATTATATATATATATATGTATTAATAATATATATACTGTACACAAAAAAAGTATTTATAAATATAGATCCTTGCAGAAGATATAATACATACCGTAACTTATACAAAAAGTTTTTTATAAACAACAGTATTTACAGGACAATGAATGCCCTTATTTTAATAAATCAAATTTATTATAATATAAATTATGATAATGTATATGTATATGAATTTGTTTAATATTTTTAAATCATAAAACTATATTTATTACGATTAAAATGCAATAATTTTATTTTACACGAATTCAGCGAGTTTATTTAAGAGACTTATTTCATTCTAGTATGGAAAGACTTAAATTGTGTATAAAATTAATTTAATGCGAATTTTTAGAATGAAATAATTTTAAGGATATCGTGTTATAATGATAATAATGACCGGCTAAACTCATTACTAAATAAAAAACACCAAACGCCATAGCAAAATTTAAATATTACTTTTTATTCATACGTGAAAAGTGTAGGCAAGACAGTATCCACAAATTTAATGTTTTATATATAAATGCAACACTGTTCTTCGCCACAGCTGCCTGATACATTCCACAAATTAACTTCATCCCTCAGTTTTGCCGGTACGCGATTGCAGTAAAATCGAAAGTTAAACGGAAATTTAAAAAGTTGTTTTGAATTTAAATAAAAATTTAATCAACTCTTTGCATTATAACAAAAACAAATAATTTATTTTTGAAATAAGTAATTTAGTGCAAGTAACTAACTTTTAAGTAGTCAGCTTAATTGCAGCAAGTGCGTTTTTTTTTCGATAACTTACCTCTAGCTCTTATCAGAATTTATTAAGGCCAATTAAAAAAGAATTAATTGAAAGCAGTTTTTATAGGTAAGCGGTTTCTTTACTTAAATGCAATAATATATAAATAACATAATTGTAATGTAAAAATTTTAATTTAAAATAACGAATATCAAAAACAAAATGTTTTGTGGTGAAATGTCTTGCGTTGCTTTTTACCAATTTTGTTTCATATATGCTTTTTCTGTATTTTTTCCTTTATAAAATCGAACTTTTATGGCTCTGTCTTGCTTTTATATCAAGAGATTTTTTAAAAATTTCGAGAATGTGCTTATTTGGTCGCTTCCTGTTGTTCGAATACTGGGAATTTCTCCAAAATTTCGCTCCACTGCACTTTACCAGTGGACAAATCCTTAACGACATCTATAACTTCATCAATACTGATGCGTACCTGCTTCATGGTGTTACGATCTCTTAGAGTAACAGTATGTGGAGCCTTCAACGTGTCGAAATCAATTGTAATACCAAATGGTATCGCAATTTCATCAGTACGTGCGTACCGACGTCCTATTGAACCACTTGAATCATCAACTTTGTGTGAAAGCTCTGCTTTTGTTAAACTGGCTGAGAGTTGTCGTATAAAGGGATTGAATTCTGCATTATTCGATAGAGGCAAAATTGAGCATTTCAGTGGCGCAATCACAGAAGGCAGTGTAAAGTAACAACGCTGTTCATCACCCTCACGGCATTGGAAATTTTGTTCCAAGAGTGCATACATAATACGTCCAATACCAAAAGATGGTTCCACCACACTAGGTATGATTTCCTCAACGTGCACAGTTTTTGTGGTATGCTTCACGCTGATTGTGTCTGGCGTAAGTTTGAATTCATTCGCTGATGCTACGTTCAGCACATATTCGTTCTTTGTGGTCAAATCCTGTTCGACAGTTTTAATATCATCTAATGTTAACTTAGCTAAGGCGTCAGTAATTAGCTTGGCATCCTTTTTGAATGTTTTGCCTAGCGCTTGTTTGTTGGCTACAATTTCGGAAACTTCAATAGTTTTCGGTGCAGGCAAGCGTTTTTCTGCTACCAAACGTACACCTGTGGCGGCCATGTGCTGACTCAAGTCGTAAGCGGAACGATCAGCGCAACCAACGCACTCTACCCAACCATAACTTGTAAGAAATTCGGCATCCCAGCAGTCACAAGCGTAATGCGCCATTTCATTGTTCATATGCTGACGGAATCGCATGCACTCTTGCTTAATGCCAATCGCTACAGCAAATTGATGTATACGTGCCATGTAGTAACCGAGCGTTTCGTTAGCCACAAGTCCACTTTTCACGGCTTCGCCTATTGTTAACTGCTGCGCAGATTTGCCGTCCATTTGATTGCAGGCAGAGTAAAGCGTCATTAGCGTCGAGCTTACATTCTCAAATTTAGGATGATCCTTTTGTGTTGGATCACAGAAATGTTCGATTTCAGCCATGGTAAATTCACGTACACGTATTAAACCGGAACGTGGGGAAATTTCATTACGGAATGAATTACCTATTTGTGCCACAGCAAAAGGCAATTTGCCTTGGTTGAATTCCAGTAGTCGTTTGAAGTTCACAAAAATACCTTGCGCCGTTTCTGGTCTTAAGAAACCTTTAACTAAACCTGTAGGACCAATTTGTGTGGCAAACATTAAGTTAAACTCAATTGGTTCTGTCAAATCATTTCCAGTGAGCGGTGATTTCATGTTGTATTTTTGTAGCACTGCAGCCATTTCCTCCTTGTTCATGCCATCTAATTTTATGACGCTATCTTCACATTCAGCTTTCAGTTCCGCAGTCGCGTTCTTCTCTTTTGATAACTTCTCCAGTGCATTCTTAATTAAATGATCTAGACGAAAGCATTCTCCGGTTTTAGTATCCTTCACCATTAAATCTGCAAAACGATCAACATGTCCAGATGCTTTTAGAACAGGTTCAGGTGTGAGAATTGAGCAATCAACTTCAAGCATTTGCTCTTCTAAACTGAAAAATTGTCTCCATAAACTTAATATATTGGATTTTAAAGCACAACCCATAGGACCAAAATCATATTGACCAGTTATGCCACCGTAAATTGCAAAACTTTGATCATAAAAGAAGCGCCGCTTCAGTAAATCTTCCATTTTCGAACGATCAAAAGTAACTACATTTGGTGTTAGTTCCAATTCACGATCTTCCAAAGTTTTCTTACGTATTTTAAGTTCAGCAACGGCTTTTTTTACATCTAATTCAGGTGCACCTTTCGCTTTCAGTTCGCGTACCAGATTACCTTGTTCGAGCACCTTTTGACGCAATGGTGCCAATTGCACTTCTATTTCTGGATTACTCATTGGATTAAACGTTTGTAACCTCACTTTACGTTTAGTTTTCTTTGAACCCCAAACACTTTGCGGTGCAGGTGATGTATCTGACTTTTTAACAGCTGATTTTGTTAGTAACGGATTATGTGAACCACTAAATGATTTATAGGGAATGTGAGTGTAATGAAGTCCGTTCCAACTGGAAGCTTCTAGTAGCCAATTTTGTTTGAATTTTCTAGCCGTTAAAGTTGTAGCGCGTAATTTTAAAAGCGCTTTAATCACCTGAAATGACATAAATAATCTTTACTTAAACTTCAAATATTGTTAATTCATACATAAAAATAATGAAATAAGTGAATGTACCTTTTTTACAATTAACCAACAGAACCACGAGTAAAAGTCGACGTTGCAGTTTCGTCAGCGAATGCGGCTGATGAAATTTTCATAGCAGACATTATAAACAGTGTTGGTAAATAAACAAATAAATGTAAACAAAATTTATTTCCATTAGAATTTGGTATAAATTGTTTATTATTTCATTTATTATGCATAATATATAAAAGACATTCATTAGCGATACTAGAAACAATTTCATGATTATTATCTTATCATTATATATTAATATAAATATTTGTATGTAAATTTGCAAGTACATTTACATATTTCTGAATATCGTGTTATAACGCTTTAAATTTTCCTGTAAGTTTATTATAATAAAATGAAAAAAAAAAAAATAATAAACATTACGATGTTTTTATAATATATGAAATATATAAAGAGGTTTAGATAGTATGTTTCCATTGGCTTCGTTAGACCAGTTAATTTACTTGAAATTGTTTGAATTACTCGAATCTCAAGTAAGTTACTTGTCTAACGAAGCCAGTGAAAACGTGATATAAGATGTTTTACTTTTTCGGTTATTTTGTTCTTTTGTTTAAATAATGAAAAGAACAGTGACAAAATATATTTGGAACACATTTCAAAAAGCATTTAAATAATTGCTTACTGTATATTTCTTTTTGCATCGCTTTTTTATGTCACAATTTCTATTTCTATTTATTGCAGTAAGTGAAAAATAATAAGTTAATATCTCAAAAGACACTTTTTAAATTTAAAATTATATATTATCCATTTTATAATTTTTCACAAAAGAATTAATAATATTTTTAATAAGCCTTAATTCTGGTTAAGATGTGTCTTCAGACTTACTATTTAGGTCGTGTGCGAGTTAGGCTAAGTTGCGTTCTAAATGAGGGAATTTCTAAGTTGTGCCGATAATGTAGTGATGTGCCGTTACTTGTTGATAAATAGCTAAATGTGTGCAGTGCAAAAAAATCGCAAAAAATCTTCCATTTGGGGTTTAGCTTCAACTTAGCCTAACTTGCACACGTTAAACCACACTTTATTTGTGGTCATATAAAACAGCTGTTAATTTCAGTGTAATTTTTCTACTGTGGTAAAATATGTCGAGTGTTATACTATGTTCAGACACAACTTATTTTCGCAACATTTTCATATCGTTTTCGTTTCAGCGAAATTAAGTTGTTTTCTTCATACAAAATTTAAGGTTAGAACGAATTTAAGGAAAATGGCATTATTTTTAAGCAAAAGATAGGTTGAGATAACAAAAAAGTGACATTTATGTTTAAAAACAGCTGACTTTAATAAAACGGAGAAAATATGAAAGTAATGCAAGTTTTCAAATTTGAATAAAGAGAAAAAACTGTAACTGTTATTAATTTAAAATGGAGTGAAAAATAATAATCTACACACCTAAAATTCACTAAAACTAATAAAACTACCGAATGCCATCTTTTATAGTTATGACAATCAACTTTTAAAATTTCACAGGTACAAATAGTGTTTCGAGCATGTAATTTTTAATATTCGATTTGTAAACAAAAAAATATGATTTTCTTAAATTGGAGCAGTATGAACACTTTCTAAAATAAACTTAATTTCATTTTAACGAAATTAAGGAAATTTGGACAAGCATAGTATAATTTTGCTACTCTGGCAAAATTTCTAGAGGTTATAAATTAATATTGAATGTTATACATTATTCTCAAGTGTTATACAAATTTACCAATCAAAAAAGAATATGGCATTTAGGTCGTCTGCGAGTTAGGCTAAGTTGCGTTCTAAATGAGGGAAATTCTAAGTTGTGCCGATAATGTGGTGATGTGTCGATACGTGTTGATAAATGGCTAAATGTGTGCAGTGCAAACAATTCCAAAAAATCTCCCATTTGGTTTAGCATTAATTTAGCCTAACTCGCACACGTCCATAAAGTTAATCTCGTTTAAAAAATTTAGCTTAGATTTACCAATCGAAAACGCTGATACTTTTAAGGCCGTGTGCGAGTTCGAATAAATTGATGGTAAATTGAGGGAAATAGTAAATTACATTGGTATGACAGCGATGTTGGTATTTACCAGAATTTCGAATACAGTTAATTAGATAACTATTAGGTGAATTAGGTGTTTTATTGTGAAAATTTTTTAAGATTATTAATAACTAAATAAATAAATAAATTTGGTTACTTTTAATCAAAAATAATAAATAAATGCAATAAATAAATAAATATTTACAAGAAATTCCTAGAACATTTCAATTTAGTTTACCTCAATTTACTCGCACACGGCCTAAACGTATCATCAGGTTTTGCTTATTTTAGGTCGTGTGCGAGTTAGGCTAAGTTGCGTTCTAAATGAGGGAAATTCTAAGTTGTGTCGATAATGTATTGATGTGTCGATACGTGTTGATAAATGGCAAAATGTGTGCAGTGCAAAAAATCCCAAAAAATCTCCCATTTGGTTTAGCATCAACTTAGCCTAACTCGCACACGACCTTAGACCAATGTTGTGCTTCATTTCTCGTTTTTACATTTTACAACACTGCGCCGCGCTGTCATATGCAGCTGTTTTGGATTTTCCCTTTAATCTCTCATTCTTATTGCGGTTAGTAGCGTTGTTTATGTTCCACTTTTCATAGAGCTTCTTCGTGTGTTGCGTTTTAGTTGCGTTTTCTTGTTTAATTAAGTAAATTTTCTTAAAGATAAAAAGTATTATTTTTAAATATAAGTTATTGAATAGAAAAAAATATATTATAAACAGTGCTTTTCAAGAATAAATATAAAAATATTTGGTTGTGATTACGCGTAGTAAAAATAAATGCACATAAAAGTGTTTGCTTAAGAAAAAAACGAGAAGAGAAAAAAATCGTAAAGAACTTCGAACTTCTTGGCTTGCGGAGTCGCTGTCAATTTTTGTTGTTGTTTGCGTTGCAACGCAGTTTATTGCCCTATTAATTGACGAACTACGGGTAAATATTCATAATTTTCGTTATACAATATGTTTTTATTTAAAATTTTATTATTATTTTAGTGAACAAAAAGAAAATATATTAACAAGATTTAAAAAAAAAATTAGTTTTAATTGACGGAGTTCTGGCCTTTAAATGATGTCAGTGTTTTGAGTTCATTTGCATAAAAATTAAATTTTGTTATGCCTTCATCGATTACTGATGCTTCCGTGCTGCCTTCATTGCATCATTTGTCAACGTTCAGCTTTGAATACTAAGGAACTCAATACGATTTTAAAGAGGTGAGAATATTTATTATAAATTATTATTTTTAATTTGTAACTAATTAATTAAGTGAAGTGAATATTAATATTCTAAAAGTGGGTTATATAAAAAAGTAACTAATGGAAATTAGTTCTGTCATTGTACTTGAGCTTGTTTACTTTTGCACATGAATCATCCAACCACTCACTTAAGATGTTTTCATACTGGGTTGAGCAGTTTTGAATAATTTAACTAATTTAAAAAAAAAAAAATATATGCACATAAACGGAAATAGCAAGCTTCCCTTTACGGCTTTACGGTTTGCCTTGACTTGTTGTTTCCAAAGAAGTTTATCTGTCACGATGTTTGGGTTTTTTTTCTATCATTTTCTATTTTTATTAAAACTAGTAAATAAACTTAAAATATGCATTTTAGAAATAAAAACATTTCATATTGCATTGTTTTTGTATAAAAAATTCTCTTATAAAATGCCAATAATTAAATTGGTGATCAAATTTACATATAACATTTACTCTGCATAAATCTAAACGTTCATTTTTTATTAAATATTTAAATAATTATATAAATATGCATAAATGTGTCTCTCAAATAACATTATTAAATATATACAACCAACGGAAATTTTTAAAAAAATTTAATATTACATTTTTCTAACAAATTATTAAAATATTTGTCATTCATTAGAAATTAATTAGTCACAGTTTCATTTAGTCGAAAGAGGTTTGGAATCCTAAATCGAGGGATTATTAGCCCACAGCAATTACGAGATTTATAAATAATCTAGAATTGTTTTAGTAGGAGTTTTAGACGCACAATAGATCTTTCAGGTCGGGGTGCATTCATAGCCTATTATTTGATAATAATATAGACCAAGAAACCATGAAAGGAATTAAATATATATATGGGTTAAGATGCGAGTGAATGAAGATAGAGTGAGAGGAAGAAGGGTCGTTTGGGATATTGGCAATATGAGAGTATGGCTTTGTGCCATTTGAAATCAGCCTATATCGAAAGATTCCTGAAGCAAGTAGGTTACATTTCAAAGCTATATATTCATCCCGACGACCAAACGTCGGTTAACACTATCAAAAGAGTAGTACAACAGACTTATTGCTAGCCATAAACCGTAGTTTAACATTGTTTATTGTAATTAGAATGGAGTCATCATCCAAAGATATTGTTACATTTATTATCTGTATTGTATTGTATTGCATCTGTATTTATTTATCTGTATTTGAGTAAAATTGGTAAACCTTTTCTATGCGCAATACATTATATTTCATTTGCTGCGGTGTGCCATTTTTTATTCTAAAAATGTAGACTGACCACTATAATGTTTATCATTAGTCTTAATCGGTATCCGAGTTGTTAGGTTTTTGCTAATAGTTATTATTAGCTTTGTGTCTGAATTAGATGGGAAGACTTTTTTAGGCATAACACAATAGATTTCATAGATCGCCATTGTGTAATCTATTATTAATATTCTGACAAAGGGTTTATTTTAAGGTTTATCATTAAATTATTTTGTGTCTGAGTAGGATCAGTAGAATCTCTCTAAATGTGAAACAAAAGATTTTTTAGATCAAGGTTTATCATTGTTCCTTCTAATAATAATCATATTATCAGCAAGAGACTAATTGTGATCAATAGGCATTAGGAGAAAAATTCTTCTATGTTTCC